ACACATTTTGCAACATTTGAAGTTTAGGAGTGAAGTACTAGTTTAAATTTGTTCATCCCATCCTAATGGACCCAAAAAGCTATAAAATGCTTATAGCAAACAGTTCACCAGTCTCTGAAGTTCAGACATCTGTGGTGAAACACAGCAGCTTTTCACCACCGCACAAACAGAAAAATTTGGAGACAAGAAGAACACTTCCCTAATAAGCTGCAAGGGAAATTTTAGGTAAGCAGAATATAAATAGAGTTGGAATTTGGCCAAAAGTTTAGGCATAATGCTTTACTTCCATAAAGGATGCTATGGCATTGTTAATGACTACAAGTGGTAAAGAACTTAATGTTATCACTCACCCAAAAGACGACACCTCTAGTAGCACAGCACCCCCTAATTCTAGTCGCTAGCTTTCCCAGTCTTCGGGACACTGGCCCAATAGGAGTGACACCCACTGAATCACCAGCACTGTTTTCTGCAGGACACCATCTTCAGAGGTTTTCCATGCAAGTACTAAACTATCTGACTTTCCTCAGCTTTTAGATCAGACAGGTTCACAGCACACAGGTATGTAGTTTTAAGTACTTACACGTTATTGCAAGGGTGAAAATATAACAAAATTGCTAACTAGTTTTGAACAAATCTAATTTTCTCCTGATCATGAATTCCAAGAGATTGTAGTCTAAGCAACCAGTGTTTCCCTTTGCATTTTGTAAGAGTCAAGTTATCACATTTAATGTCAGACCAACAACAAAGAAGTCTAATTATGTTTAGAAATCTGTGACAATATTAAAAACTCATACTCAGTTTGTTGTTGTTTAAAGCAAGACTCTTCAGAACAGAAAACTTTCCCATCAGTGGTGGCAGGATCTCAATTTTGTTGTTTGACAAATCTATTGTCCTTAAGTTGCTGGCTAGCTTCTGCAGGTCTTCAGGAAACTAGGGGGTGGGGGGGGGGAGGAGTATAAACAACATTAAAACAGCTGGTTTAATTTCATAATAGACAATATAATTTCATGGTATCAGTCTTTCAGTTATTTACACTGCAGTTCAAGTTTATATTAGTCCATATGATGCACAGTGTCTCACCAGCACCAAAAGTGAGATTTACCAAATTCACGCAAAAACAATACATGAAGTTAATTTTTTTCAGTGGCACAAAAAAAATAAAAAATGCAAGGGACATTTTACAGACTCTTAGGAAAACTAATTCCTAGTCCAGAATTCAGTCTAAATAAACAGGATAAAAAAATAAAGAAAAAAAGGGCAAGGATAGGAATACAGCACAATACTGTTTACAGAACTTTTCATTTTTATGTTCTCTTTAATGCCTATTAATATCCTTTGCTATTTGATTATCTCCCCCACACACACACTTTTAAGCATGATGGAAGCTAAATAAAACCCCTTCTTCCTTCAGTTCTCTGATTTATTTTATATAGATTACAAAAAACATTTCCTTCCATCTTAATGTAACACTTGTCTGCTCTTTGGAACTCACCCCCTCTCTTATTCACATACCTTGCCATCATAAAGCATATGTAACATTGTTACATCATTCACTTGCGGATTTTTTTTTTTAAATCATCTACTCTCAGTCAGCAACAGCACCAAATATCTGCAAATATCTCCTAGTCCAGGGGTAGTCAAATCCAGACCACCAGACACTTTTGAACGGATCCCAACATCTATTTACTTGTTATTATTGATTGTTTTATTATTTTCTCTGGAGTGTGGACCTTGATCAAGAAATTTGGACCGGTTCTAGTTTCTAGTCCTTGAGCCAGTAATGGGAGGGAAACACACTCATGTTTTAGCTTTTCCCTGCAAATTATAGCAGCAACTTATCATATTTCCCCCCCCCCCTTGCCAGAAAGGGAGAAGTGAAATGGAAGATTAAACATATGAGAGAGGTATTTAACCCCCCCACCGCCCCATGCACAACAACAAAGTAACATGGTGCAGTGTTAAACTTGGACATCATACAAACAGCAGCTAGACCAGGGGTCTCCAACGCGCGGCCCGCGGGGTTATTTTCTGTGGCCTGCGAGCTCCTCGCGGCCCTTCCCCAGCATTTACCTAGAGCAGCTCCGGCCCGACGCGCACCAGGGGCAGAGCAGGGCAGGTCCCTGCCTGCCCTGCCCCCGTGCCGCTCTAGGAAGCGGCCGGAACCTGGGGAAGGGGGAGGCACATGGGTCTGTGTGTTGCTCTTGCTTCAGGCAGCGCCCCCAGCGGCTTCCATTGGCCACGGTTCCCCGTTCCCGGTCAATGGGAGCTGCTGGGGGAGGTGCCTGAAGCAACAGCAACGCACAGACCCTGGTGCCCCTCCCCCCACAGGTTCTGGCCACTTCCCGGAGCAGGGACAGGGCAGGCAGGCAGGGAGCCTGCCCTGCCCTGGGTGCGCGCCAGGCCAGAGTCCGCCCCCTAAACCCCTCTTGCACCCCAACCCCCTGCCCTGAACCCCCTGCCGCACCTCACACGCCGATCCCCTGCCCTGAATCCCCTGCTGCCCCCCTGCTGCTCCCCTCCTGCACCCCGACCCCCTGCTATACCCCACACCCCTCCTGCACCCTGACCCCTTGCCCTGAGCCCCCTGCCACACCCTGCCCCCTGAACCCCTGCCCTGAACCCCCTGCATCCTGACCCCCTGCTGCACCCCTCACCCCTCCTACACCCCACACCCCAACTCCCTGCCCTGAGCCCCTGCCACACCCCACACCCCTCCTGTACCCCCTGGGGGCAGGGAAGGGGCGGAATTGGGGTGGGGATTGCGAGGAAGGGGTTGGAATGGGGACAGGGAAGAGGTGGGAAGAGGCGGGGCAGGAGCAGGAACCTCATGGAAGGGGTGGAGTGGGGGCAGGGCCGAGGGCGGCGGGAGGGAGGTGTCAGTTAATGCGGCCCTCAGGCCAATGTACTAGTCCTCATGTGGCCCTCGTGGTCATTTGAGTTTGAGACCCCTGAGCTAGACCCAACAGCAATTGTTCAAGTCTGATTTGGATTTTTCTGGGAATTGATCAAACAAAATCAAGTCAATCTCAGATAATGTGCTAAAACCATAGGCACTTATGGATATGCTTTACTTTTGTCACTTGAGCAGTTCCAATCACATGACTAAGGTTAAGCATATGAATAAGTGTGTGCAGGATTGGGGCCTTAAAGTATTTCACAAATTTGAGAGTATCTTGCATAAATATACAGTTATAAAACTTATCTTGTGCTCTCAAGTTAAGATATTCTATTGAAAGCCACCTTTTTTGTTGCATAAACTTTTAAGACTCCTGGATTTAATATATTTGTTTTAAATATAAAACCAGAAATTATAAAGAAATACAAGTTTCCAGGTAAGTGGAGCATCACTGATTGCTAGAGCAAAGGTGCATGCAAGAGTGTTTTCCTTAAAAGGGGGACAGTGAGGTGCCTGAAGCATTATTTATACAGTACTATTAATGCCCATGGCACTTTACAAAACAGAAAGATAGAGTCCCTGCCTAAGACAATTAGTCATGTACATGTGTAGCCAAAGAGTTCGACTACCTCAGAGAGACCCTTTCCAGTTAGCTGGAACACGCCTGTTTTCTGGGCTGTCTCCAAGTGAGCTTTTAAGGCACTATTTCCCATCTTGCTGGTCTTGTATCAAATATACAGATTTTGTTTAAGGCACAAACCCAGTCCAGTCTCTCTCAATCACGATGCACTGGATTACATGAACCCAATTTTCCTGTTAAAAAGCAAATTTACAAAGTCATTTTGTGCATAAGAGTCTTCTTCCATTATGGCTCACCTGGACATGTTGAATGGTATGCTTAATGTATCAGGCTATATTTCTTATCCCTAGTTAACAAAATATAGGTCTTAATAAGATTAACTCAATTTATCATACTAAGATGCCTCCATTTAGAGTTGTCTGAATGCTAAATTAATGGCATGGAAGTTGGGAAGCATGCAACAGTGGAAGGCAAGATCAAAGTGTCAGACTAAGGCCATGTGTACACTACAAACTTTAGTCAAGACAAGTGATAGTGGGGTAATGCCACAGCAGTTACTATATTGCATGTGTGTGCATACTTGTCTGCTAGCATTGGTGCTTCATGAACTCGATATGTTAGCCTTGGTCTGCACTTAAAACTTAGGTCGACATGGCTACAGCACTCAGGGATGTGAAAAATCCACATCTAGGTGCTACAGCTATGCCAACCTAACCCCCGGTTGGCCGGTTTAAAGGTCAATGGAAGAATGCTCCCATGAACCTAGCTACTGTAGCTCTAGGAGGTGGAGTTGATGGAAAAACCCCTTCTGTCGCTGTAGTCTGGCTACAGCAGCATAACTAGGGGGGCGCTATGGCTATGCCACTGTAGTGCCCATAGTGAAGACATGGCCTTAGAGCCCTCAGTCTTGTAGAGGGGTTCAAATAATTTGGTTACATAAATGTAGGAATTCATACAGTTCAGCACCTTATAGGGACAGTGTCAAGTTAAAATCCGCAGAACAGCAGCCCCTGCGGGAAGGGGAGTGACTGATTAAGCTAATTACCGTCCCACCCCCGGGAGCTCTAGCAGCTCCAACCAGTCCGGGCTCCCAGCCCCGGCCCCTCGCACGGCCCAGCTCTTGGGGGAGGCCCAAAGGCGGCTCCGCTTCGGGCTGCGTAACAGAGTCAGAGACACCTCACATCGCCGCCCCCAGCCAGAGCCCATCGGCCGCCCGCGGCGCTGCCACCCCTCTCGCCCGGCCAGCCGAGCCGCCACTCGGGGCAGGGGCACCCCAGGGTAGCCTCCCCCTACCCGGGCTGCGGCCCCGGCGACTGACAGGCCGGAGACCTCCCCCACCTACCGCCCTTTCTGCAGCCGCGGCTCTAACTCCCCATCGCGAGTCTCCACCCACCCACGGACCAGCTCGGGCTCCAGCTGGGGGTGCGAAGTCACCCACCCGCGCCAGCCCCGGAACCGGAAACTAGGCTAGCGCCGCTTTACAGGACACATCCAACATGGCGGAGACACAAAGCCACACCCGCCAGCACGGCTGCGGGCCTGTCACACACAGCATAGCGAGGGGGCGTGGCCTCGCCCCCCCTAGCGTGAGCGACGCGTGGGCGGAGCTTCCTGCGCGAGGGCGGGCGCGCGGCAGGTTTAGAGGCGAAGGCGGCGATGGCCTGTTCGAACCCTTGGGACCCGGCGCAGCCCACGGCCGCGGGGCTGGTGCTGGCCAAGTGCCTGGTGGCGGGTGTGGTGACCCAGGTAAGGAGCGGCGGGGCCGGGCCGGGCTATGGCCCCTTCCCCGGCGAACCGCGCGGCCCTTCCGGGAACGCGCTCGTGGGGGACCCTCGCGCCCGGGAGAGCAGCTGCTGTGCCGCCTCCCCGCTTTCCAGCTGCGGGTGTCCGGCCTCCCCGTTCGGGCGCCGACCCCCACCGTCAGCGCCCCGAGTAGGAGCCATCTCAACAGCCGGCAGCGTAGCAGGCTCTGCCCGACCGGCTGGATGATAGACACTCTCCAGGCTGGAGCAGGTCCCTGTCTGGCATGGTTGTTCCCCATTCCCTAAAGAGCATTCTAGCCAGTGCTTAATTTGTGGAAGGACTCAAGTCCTTGCACCTCTAGGCTTGGCAGTTCATAGCCCCAGCACCTCTGGGCTTGCTGTATTAGTTATGAATGTAAAAAATCGCTTGAGCTCCCGCACCTCTTGCATTACAAATTAAGCACGGATTACACTCCGGATTGCCTGTGGCCAAGGTAGACGCCTGCTCTAAAAAACGGATTGCTATTACAGGCTTTGGGAGAGCTAACTTTAGTTAGACTTTGTTCTGTAGTTCTTGATCTTCTTTAGCTCCTTAGATCTTTTTTAAAATACAAATTAATGTTTTTCAGCTGCCGAGTTAGAATACATTTCTCACTGTGGTTGTCTGCTGTGCCCCCGGGTATTTGCTTCTTCTGGATGACTTTCTGCTACTAGGGTTTCATTTACACAATGAGTGTCAACAGAAGGTGCTAGATTTTAAATGGGCAGCATTGATTCTGCTCTTGGAACTTGGGGATAAAGTGTAAAAGTTCCGTTTATTCCTGTGCCTGTACCGTCAAAATAGTCTAATAGAACTATGCCTCCACTTTCAAGTACTCCTGTTAAATTTCATCTTCCTATCAGTCCTGTACAGAAAGCCATGTTGACAGATCCCTGCACAGAGGTTCATGTTCAGGGTCACTATTTGTAGCTAATGCCCTTTGTTTTCAGTTTTTACAAAAACATTCCTGGCTTTTACAAAAGCTATTGCATATGTTTTTCCAATTTTCACCTGAATTTTGGACCACTTGAATACATAGACTAATTTATTTTAACAATCAATATTTCCAAGTGTAAATGTGAGGCTGTCTGTTAAAGTAAGACAATTGTAGTGGAAGATACACATAGGTGTGTACGTACTGTTAATGTACAGTTCATGAAATAAACTACAGCATTAAACTGCTTTTACTTTAAATACTTTTACTTTTCTCTTTGTTCCTTTTTTCTGTTCTCCTTTCCCCCAATATTAACCCTGATATTTTCCTAGAAAACTGAAGTTAATTTTGCACAGATTTTCACCTGTGTGTTTATTTTTTGTAATAAACACTGATACATTTTTGGGAAATTTTAAACAAAAAAACAAAGGGCCTTGTTTGTAGCATAATCTTGCCTGTTGCATAAGTCCTTTCACAATCACTTTATTTAATTTTATTATTTGATTTATAGTAGCACCTGGACACTCCAACCAAGTTGGGGGGCCCTACTGCACTAAGAGCTGTGCAAACAGATAGTAAGAGACCATCCCTATAGAGCTTAGCCCTTGTCTATACTACAAACTTACCTTGGTATAACTGTTGCTCAGGAATGTGGAAAATCCACACCCCTCAGTGACAGAGTTATACCAACCTAACCCTTGGTGCAGGCAGCGCTATATCCATGGAAGGGCTTCTCCTCTCCTCAGCCTCTCTGGGAGCTGGAGTACCTATGCTGACAGGAGAAGTGTCTTCACTAAGCACCACAGCGGTAGAGCTGCACTGGTGCTGCTGTAGCACTGTAAGTGTAGACAAGCCCTTACAATCAGACTGAGTATTCTTGGTGGTTGACCCAAGATTGTGGAATGAACTCCCCACAGGAACTGCAGACCATCCCAAACCTTACCACCTTTCACACCTTGCAAGAAGCATTTCTCTGACCTTGTCATCTCTAATATAAACACAGAGGTGTGTGTGAATGTGAATATATAAATTCAAAAAGGAACACTGCATACACTTCTTCCCATGGGAGAGAAAATGAAAGAACAAACCTGTGACACATTAGTCACATTACTTAATACACTCCTGGAAGTCGCTCAGATGCTATGGTGATGAGCATGGTATAAGAAATCATATAGAATAGAATCTAAATAGACAAGAAAGACAAAAGGAGGAAGGGGAAACGGAGATATTGAGAGATGAAGTGCTTTGCCCAAGGTGATGCAGCACATCAGTGACATAGCTGGAATTGAACTCTGGTCTCCTGATTCAGTGCCTTATCCACTAGCCATGCTACTTCCTAGTACATTGGTTGGGGCGGGGGGGAGGGGTTAGTTATTTTTTTCCCCTTAAAGTACTATGTGTGTCTTCAAATAAGATGCCATTTATCATAAATCCATGTTTATGCTAATAGAAACAATGTTAAAATTGAAATGGGGGAGAAGAGAGAAATCCCTCCTGGCTGTGCCTGATTAATTTTATTCAATTTTGGATGTTAACTGTCCATGCCAGGGATGACTGTATCCCTTGCTCTTGTTTATACTTCTAAAGAGTAAATTTCTGTCTTTAAATCTATGCCATTGGAATGCACCTAAACAACAAATCTTTAAGGAGGGTGCTCCCAGACTCTTCTATAAGGACTTTGTCTTTGGAGAAGTTTTATTTTTGTAAGCCCATTTTTGTCCTTCTGAAATGTTTCCTCAGCTGCCTATGCAAGATTTGTTTCCCAAATCATTAATGTTAGGAGAAACTTAATGCAACACCTAGGAAGACGCTACCAGTTGCACTAATGTTCTTGCTAACCTTGAAAATGTTCTAATTGCTTGTGACTTCTTATTGCTACTGACCCGGTACCACCCTCTCTTGTTGTTCCTTAATAGGAGGTGCTGGATTTATCTGCTAAACAAGCCCCTTGCTTTGTGCACCTCACCGAGGTGGAGAAAATTGCAGACATCCGAGCTGAAATAAACCAGGTAAATCCATCAGTACTAGGGTGCATATTTCTATATGATGGGTAAGACAACATACTAACTGCTCTTGACCTTTGCACTGCCCCCTCCATGTAGAAAGCATATTTTTATGCTGTGTTTTTACCATTATATAGTAGAAAACATAAAGCAGGCTGGAGAAGAAAAAGAATATGTAAAATATAATGGCAGGTGTTGTTAATTTGTAATTTAGTTTTTAATGGTAGGTTTGTCACAATTTAATGAATTATCACAAAGGAAAGAGAGACCCATATATCAAATTCCTTTCTTTCGTAATAACTGCAAAGATGCAACCCGTTGTATCTGGTGAACAAACTTTTTATCTAAATCTTCTTGAAGAAACTGGGGAAACAGATCTGAACAGCTGTTCTCCTTAGATCAGCAAACAACTATTGTTTTTTCATGAGCTGTTGTATTTATAGGCAACCGGACCACTTCCACTTTAACAAGATAAGGGCTTGTCTATACAGGGAGCTATTCTTGGTTAGCTCCATGTGTGGATACTCTTATTCTGGAATGAGAAAGAGTGCCTTATTCTGAATTACTTTAGTCTTTTTGGGTGTGGTTTAAAATAATTCAGAATAAGACTCTCTATCCACACAGAGTTAATCTTAAAATAATCTTCTTTACATTCACACCCTACCTTATTCTGGATTAATTTTCATGTGTATACATCCCCTAACAGTACCTTTCTTACAGTTCCATTCTTTAGGCTCCCACTACTATCTAAACTGGCTGTTAGATTTAAGTTCTATGAGATGTATTCTGAATTTCTCTGTTATTGCTATTGTCTGGTGGTAATGCTTACCTACTGAATTATCCAATGCATACATTAACATTGGCAAAGTCCATGCCATCAAACAGCATTGCAGACAGTGAAATGCCCATTGGCTTAGCTGAAGAAGAGGTTAGACCAGTGGTTCTCAACCTATTTACACTTGTGACTGCCTGGCTCACATACTGCAATTAATATCTAGGAATTAAACCTGAAAAGGTTCCAACTGGTACAATATGCAGCAGTCCATCTGCTTAGTAACACAGGACATGAGAAGACATTAACCACATTCTGGACTGGCTCCCCATTGAATAAATCAAATTAGAGGTCTGTCCAAGATCACCCCTATGACAGCAGCTGTGTTCCCCTGGAGCCAGGGAACTGTTTGCCACTAGGGAGAGACTTTTGTAGGAACTGGATTTAGACAATGGAACTCATTCCCAGAAGAAATAAAAATGAGCACAAGCTTCATTGCATTAAGAACTAAATGCAAAACTCAGCTCTTCATGCACACATACTCAACACAACCATACAAACTAATCTGTTTTTAAAAAGTTTCTTAGACATGGAAGGATGAATGTGGTATTCTTATTTTGAATACATACATGCTGAGGAGGTGGGGAATATCCACAGGTATATAGGTAAATAGAAATTAAACCGTATGAAAATCAAGTGTAGCTATTTTTTATGCCTTTTGTAGAAGAGCCTGGAAACCGAAATCCTGGGACTGGAAAAGGAAACTGCAGATATTGCTCACCCATACTTCCTGAGTAAGTGGTTTTGTTCAGGGGAACAATTATTAGTTTTAGGCTCTTTGACCTGGACGTCATCAAATGTGTTTCACCTCCATTGAGTTCCCTGTTTCTCATCACCGCCATTGCACTTGTCATCCGCTGGTGTGTAGTGGCCCATGAGGCTATGATGGGTGATCAGCCAATAAAGAGTGCTAGCACAGCAATGCAACTAGAACCCTCCATGTCACTAGTGACCATGTGCATATTCTTTGTGGTATTCCACTTAATAGCTTGGACCCCAGGGGGCAGAAGTTCTGGGAGCATTCATAAGCGATTGTGCCCCAGCAGTGCTGCATTTAAACCTGTTGTCTTCCAAATAAGTCAACAGATGTATGTACTTTTTTCATATGTAATGTCACTCAGAAGAACTTTTTGGGATTTTATTTTGGTAAGTTGGGGGGAATTGATTAATTCCCTCAGTATTTCTCCACCTCTTTGCTTTGTCTTTATGGGTCTTTTCTTCTTGTCCACCACAACATAACCCTGAAGGAAATTCTTATTACTAAAATACTATAGGGTGCAGGTGTAAGTCATATAGGGATTTTTGGATGGAGCTACCAGATCCCTTAAAACCATGCTTGTTAGTAAAGTGATACCTTTTTAAGGAGTACATGTGCTGAGCCTCTTTGGAACATATCCTAGTACTACTTCCTAAATCATTCAACAGGGGCTAGTCTGGCTACTGCTGTTCTCCCAGAGCCTGAGCCAATCACTTGCACAGTGAAAAACTACTGGAAAACCTGAGTCAACTGCAATCCAGAATGAGTTTCTGCTCTTGCTCCATTGGTCAAACAATTTCCAGTCAGTATTCCTTTGACGTTTACCTCTGTTGTGTAGCTCAGAAATGCCAAGCTCTGCAAATTATGAATAAGCACTTGGAAGCAGTGCTGAAAGAGAAGAGGACTCTCCGGCAGAGGTTAATGAAGCCCTTGTGTCAAGAGAATTTGCCTATTGAAGCCATATTCCACAGGTGAGTTCTTAGAAAATAGCTCTTAGCATGTAGCCTGCACATGTATTCATGTCCAAATAAGCTACTTTTGCCTGACAATCACTCCTGGTAGGGGGAGCACAACTGTGGTATCAAAAAGTTGCTAAAGTAAACTCATGCTGCTAGTCCATGTGATGGGTTGCACCTCCCCCCCCATCCCACTGTCTGGGATGCCACCTGATGTACTGGGGTTTCACTGAGCCCACCTGCTCCACTAGCCTGGACTCCCTCTCCCTGTTTTGCTGAATTAGGCTCTCTGGCCTTTGGCAGCGTGCATGCGCGCACACACACACACGCTGTAGAATCACACAGTCTGCAACCAGCTCTCTATGGGAAGATTCAGCTAGGAAATTGCCCAGCACTCAAATGCACACCCCCTTTGGGGAGTAAACCCAAAATAATATTGTTTTGCATGGTATAGAAAAGTCTGCACAGCACAAGCTCATAAAAATTCACCCTCTCCGTCAATGTGGAGAGAGAGCTGCACAGCTTCTCTCCTTCCCTCCTCCCCCCCCCCCTTCCCCGGATATGAATTGCACAAACTGGATTATGTTATAAACAAGAAATAAGTTTATTATCTATAAAAGGTAAATTTTAAGTGATTTAAAGGGATAGCAAACAGAACAAAGCAGATTACTAAGCAGATAAAACACACATACTAAGCTTAAGATATTGGACTGGTTGCAAGAAGTAATTTCTCACCCTACATTTTTATTTTGGGCAGGTTGCCGAAATTCTTGAAGGTTAGCTACCTTGCCTGCAGCTTAAATCTTCAGGTGTCTTATTCACAGACCAGATCCCTTTTCCAGCCTGGGTTTAGTACTCCTCCCCCTTTCCCTTTGTCCTTGTTCCTTAGGTGTTTCCAGTAGCCATCTTGGATGGGGATTCAGAGAAGAGTGAACCAAGATCAACTTGCTCTCCAGCCTTAAATAAGATTTACATAAGGCAGGAATCTTTTGTTTTCCAGTCTTGACCTCCCCTTCCTTTTAGTGGAAATGTACTAGAAGTCCAAGATGGTGTTCAGTACCAGATGACATGACCACATGACCTAGTAGTGTCACAGCAATGCCTCTCGGGAAGGAGAGAGATTAGTATCTTCCAAGTCTTATTGTTTCTGGCTGATGGCCTGTTGTCTGGTGGGTGTTTCCCAAGTACACACCCAGTTGTAATTGTTACATAGTCAATATTCATAACTTTAGATACAGAATTGATACATGCATACCGATTGGATAATCACCAGGTGCATAACTGGTTGGAAAATGGTTCCCAGAGAGTAATCAGTGGGTCAGAGTCGTGCTGGAAGGGCATATTGAGTGGGGTTCCGCAGGGATCTGTTCTGGGTCCAGTTCTGTTCAATATCTTCATCAGTGATGTAGATAATGGCATAGAGAGTACACTTATAAAGTTTGCGGACGATATCAAACTGGGAGGGGTTGCAAGTGCTTTGGACGATCGGATTCAAATTCAAAATGATCTGGACAAACTGGAGAAATGGTCTGAAGTAAATAGAATGAAATTCAATAAGGACAAATGCCATAGGCGCTGACTCCGTGGGTGCTGCGGGGCTGGAGCACCCCTTGGGAAAAATTAGCAGGTGCTCTGCACCCACCGGCAGCCAACCTTCCCCACCCCCTCCTTGCCGCCGCCTCCTCCCCTGAGCACGCTGCGTCCCCCCCCCCCCCAGTGCTTCCTGCCTGCCACCTAACAGCTGTTTGGCGGTGCTTAGGACTTTCCAGGAGGGAGGAGGAGGAGTGGGGACGCGGCGCACTTGGGGGAGAAGGCGATATAGAGGTGTGGCAGAGGTGGGGACGAGGGTGGAATTGGGGCGGAGTGAGAGTGGGGCAGGGCCAGGAGTGAGCGGGGGGCGGGGTTGAGCACCCACAAGGCAGAGGGGAAGTCAGCACCTATGACAAATGTAAAGTACTCCACTTAGGGAAGGAACAATCAATTGCACACATACAAAATGGGAAATGACTGCCTAGGAAGGAGTATTGCAGAAAGGGATCTGGGGATCATAGTGGATCACAAGCTAAATATGAGTCAACAGTGTAACCGTGTTGCAAAAAAAGCAAAATCATTTTGGGATGTATTAGGAGGAATATTGTAAGCAAGACACGAGAAGTAATTCTTCCGCTCTACTCCACGCTGATTAGCCCTCAACTGGAGTATTGTGTCTAGTTCTGGGCGCCACATTTCAGGAAAGATGTGGACAAATTGGAGAAAGTGTAGAGAAGACAACAAAAATTATCAGAGGTCTCGATAACATGATCTCTGAGGGAAGATTGAAAAAATTAGGTTTGTTTAGACTGGAGAAGAGACGACTGAGTGGGGACATAAATTTTCAAGTACATAAAAGGTTGTTACAAGGAGTAGGGAGAAAAATTGTTCTTCTTAACCCCTGAGGTTAGGATAAGAAGCAATGGGCTCAAATTGCAACAAGGGAGGTTTAGGTTGGACATCAGGAAAAACTTCCTAACTGTCAGAGTGGTTAAGGACTGGAATAAATTGCCTAGGGAGGTGGTGGAATCTCCATCATTAGTGATTTTTAAGAGCCGGTTGGACAAAGCTGTCAGGGATGGTCTAGATAATACTTAGTCCTACCTTGAGTGTAGGGGACTGGACCAGATGACCTCTCAAGATCCCTTCCAGTTCTATGATTCAGTAAATTATAATCTTTTAATGATACATTTTATGCAAGATGGGTCTAGTAAGGTATCTTATTCCATATCCCTACCATAAGCTTATTTCCATAAAGAATATATGGGGTGTAATGTCTCAGTCCAATCCACAGAAACTCTTTTATATATACACACATGCAGCAATTTTTCCAGTGTTTTTTGTTTTGGACCGCCTTATTGGAGACATTGTCAGTAATGAGCTATATGGTGAAAACTTAGAAATTTCAAGTACATTATTATTCTAGAGAGACCACAAAATGCTAGAAAACTGGTTTAGAAAGTATTTTTAAAAGACCCATTTATGAAAATTTAATCTATTAAATGAAACCACTCAAACTTTCATAAAAATCATGTATGGACCCCTTTAAGTTGTGAGTTTGGGAAGGAAGAATTTTGTTGTTTGTTCCAAAGTGCAATGGAATAAGACCTCAGTTTAACTGCATTTTTCAAAATAGTATTAGCAATATAGTTGACTAGTCTCTCTATAATGTAGCAGCTGGCAGTAGGCTGCTCTTAGCTAATGCTAGTTGATTTGAGACTTGATCTGAACCAATCTGAAGAACAGTATTGGTGGTATACAGCAGTAACTGAATAACCTTAACCAGGATAACTCCCATATCTGAGAGATTTATTTTGAGCTATGGGTAACAATTATTCTATGCATTACTGAGAAGGATGGAGGCGGGGGTGGGGTGGAATTGATAGTAACAGAACTACTTCTAAAAGCTAGCAATTGACTGTGTTTTTTGGGGGGGGGTTTGTCACTGTAAAAGACACAGAAAGATAGTAATGTCTCTGTCACATGGTCATTGGTCCCTTTAAGAGCCTTATGAAAGGGCTGAGTGAGATCAGACTGAGGTGGAACCACATGGTTTGGGCAGGTTCCAGTGGAAGGCCCTCAGTCAGGGTTTGCAGGAGACTAGGTACTCCAAAGGAACCTATGTGAGGGCCCAATGCTGTATACCAGAGCAGGGAAGGACACAAAGAAAAGCCGCACAGGAGCTGAAAATGGTACTATACGGGAACCAGCTGTGGGAGGGGCGGGGGGGGTGAGTTGAGAGCTCTGTTCCAGAGCCAGAAAGACTCTCAAAGGCAGCCCAGATGGGCTGGGAACGTGGCCTAAAGGGAGCAGTGAAGAGAAGTCCCCAAAGAGCAGAAGAACTTTCTTGTTTGCTGGGACTTCTCACTTGGACTTTTGCTATTTTGGAAGGGGTTAAAGTTGTTTGTGACTTGACCGGAGATCTAAGCCACATGTCCAGCACAGAGCAGTGTGTAGAGTGGGAGAAGACCCTCACTGAGGAAGGGAGTGCCAGCATTGTCTTGTTTGACCAGCAGGGGTACTGTGGGGTGGCCATGTCCCATGACACTCTTGCAAACTGAACCTTTGTGCATGTGTTCTGACTTTCCTCCAGCAGATCACATAACCGCTTTTCTTGTACCTTTCAAACAGATGTGTTTAAATTCTGGGTTTATATAACACTTCTCCAAAACCAAATAACACTCTAGTGAAGTACCAAGTCTCCTTTCTTCTGTGGAGCTTGTTCACCATCCACACATGAATAAGCCCATTGATATATGGTATGTGTTCTTCGTAACTAGCCCTGTCTTTCACTGACATGTATTTAATTTACTGAGTGCCACCAAAGAGAGCATTTGCTGACAAGCAAAGATGATGGTGATGCTCCTGCAGCCTGTGCCCTCATTCAATTGTATTGTTTCTGCTGAGATTTCCTCTCCAGGCAGGCGGTCAGGAATTCCCACAATTATTGTGGAAGGGGTTTAGAGGAAAAAATCAAGGAAAGACAGGAACAAGAGGCTTAAGATTAAATTGTGCATCATTTTGAACAGCCTGTTTCTGGATTTCTTCCCAAATTAAAGGTATGTAGCAGAGTTATTGACATTAGCAGTGGCCTTCATTGAGAAACTGGAAAGCCACTTGCAGACCATAAAGAGCATCCCTCAGATACCCCTGACCATGAAAAACATGGTGAGTAGTGAAGATGGTTCCCTTTCCTATCCTCTGTAATGCTCTTCCCCTCAAAATGCAACATCATTTAATTATTTAACCCACCTTTTAGTATCTCCTAACTTCTGAAACTCCCATCTTGTATTCCAGGACAATGCTCTGGCAAAAATTAACTTGCTTGTGACAGAGACTGAAGAGCTGGCAGAGCAGATACTGACATGGAGAGAACTGCAAAAAGGAATCCATTATGACAACTCCAAGATCACTAACGAATCAGATTCTAGCTTCAGAATTTAGTTCCACCATAAAACATCTTATTTGTGCCGAAGGAAAGATGACCAGTTGAAAGTTCTGTTTTTTACCAGTCCTGTGTGATAGTGGCAGTAATGTGTATAGTCTAACTAGAGACTTTATGGTCAGATATCTCCCCTGTTCTAGAAGGGATATTTTAGTTGGCAACAAGTGACCATTAAAATTGGACAATGATCTGTAAATGACAGAACTTTTTAGGTGTAATTCCTCTTTGGAGTGTCCTGATATGTTCACACATACCTCCTTGAAGCAATCAGAGGGAGCTGTCATACATACATTTAAAGTTGGAATGCAAAAGGTCTGTTTCAGTATGGCTGGCTAAAGCACATGATGTAAAGACTAAGCTTGTTTCTGCAAGTATTTTGAGATCCTATACTAGATTTTCTTTGTAAGTATAGGAATTTTAAAAAATATATAGTAGACTATAAAATGGGAGACTTAAGCTCTTATATGCAATTTTTATTACAAAATAGACAAAACTACAGTAGCACAATCTGGAGGAATAATTCAATGCTCCCTTATTTTCAAAGCAGCTTCTGTCAAATGCTTTGAAAGTGAAGGAAGGTACCTATGAGATCCAGCTTTCTCTTGAAGGAGAGTGTTCCCAGTGCCTCCCACAAAATACTCAGTTAATCCATAACAAGTTGTTCTTTAATGATTATTTAATTTCTTGTCTATATAATAAGATTCCAAGAATTTCACTCTGAAGCCTAAAATGTTACTTTGTCAGTATAAAGCAGTTGAACCACCTAGAAGTGTGGTTGAGGGTTCGTTATGTTCAGAATATCCCCAGATTTGAAAAATCAGTGGGATTTGCTGTCTGTTGTCATCCAGTTTTTAATTTCTCAGCAATTTTGACTTTATGAATTACACCTCTACTACAGCAAGACATGGTGTAGCACCTAGGGTTCCCACTCATGGCCCAAGACCCCTTTGTACATTCTGTACAAACCCAGAACAAAAAAACTCGCAAAGAATTTACAAACTAAGGAAGAGCTGACAATCTTTGATTCTTGCAAAGTTACAAATATGTTTGTGCTTCTGGTAACTTAAACTTTCCAGTATGTATGCCACTCTTCCCTCCAGTTCTTTAAAGGTGTTGTCATTGGAGCTCTGCAGCAAATATGTGACTGCTAGGTCTTCAGTTCTTCTGTAGGGCTCATCCTATGCACAGAATGTAAAACCTAACCATCTGTAGCTCAGATGAACATCCAGGTATTCCATTTGATTTGTTGTCTGCCACTGCGCCCCTCTCTTTTTTTTAGGAATTCTATTTGAAAGATTAGAGCAATGCATTTGAAAGTATCATTTCCAACATTCAGATTTCACCTTCAAAATGTGCTTAGTTTGAAACTCCTAGACATCTGAAAGGCAGTTAAGCATTGTGCAGGTGCAATTTGCCTTGTCACTGGTCTTGTCCTCACTAGTAATAAAGGAATATAGTAGATTGGAAAAACAGATTTTTAGCCTTGTAGAGTGAAACCTCCTATTTACCTCCAGAATCAGCCCAATTAACACTGGCATCCTCTTCTCCACCTACTCCTGGGGGAATTTTGTGCCACTGCACATGCTCAGAAGTCATGCCCCTTGTAGATTTCTTTCCTTCCCTGCAGAAAAATGACTTTCTGACAGGGAAGCTGCAAAAGCAGTCACACATAACTCCCTAGCAGGGCAGGTACATCATTTCAGGCATCTGGAGCAGCCAGCAAAGAGGTAAATCACCACGGGGCTGGGGACACCCCCATCCAGTGGCTCCTACCCTGAGCTGAGATCAGCTGCTAGTCCTGGCTGAGCTGGAGGCAGGAGAGGATGGGACTTCCTCTTCCCCTGCAAGAGGGGGAGGGGTCACTGTACAGGAAGCTACTCCTCCATATACCCAACCCACATGCACGTGGACCTCCCATATCCAGACACCCCTGCCAAGTCTCACCTGGTACATCCAGAACCTCCATAACCCTCCATACCCAAACCCCACCCCACTCATCCTCAACCCCTGCCTCTGGAACCCCCCTGCACCCAAACCCCCTGCCTCTGGACACCCAGTACCCAGGCCACCCCTGACTGAGCTCCCTGCACTCAAACCTCCACTCTCATGAGCCCCCCTGCACCACCCTGAGCTGCCACATCCAGAACCCCATGCCACTGACCCCTAACTAGCTGCACCCAGACCCCCACCCCACCAAGCCCCACTCCCCCAGCACCGAACCCCCCCGGCTGAGCCCCCCATACCCATGTGGATAGTTCTCTGAAATCATCCACTCAATGTGCAGCGGCAGTCAAAAAAGTGAACAGAATGTTGGGAATCATCAAGAGATAGATAATAAGACAGAAAATATCATATTGCCTCTGTATAAATCCATGGTACGTCCACACTGTGAATACTGTGTGCAGATGTGGTCACCCCATCTCAAAAAAGATATAGTGGAATTGGAAAAGGTTCAGAAAGGGGCAACGAAAATAATTGGGGTATAGAATGGCTTTTGTATGAGGAGAAATTAATAAGACTTGGACTTTTCAGCTTGGAAAAGAGGTGACTATGGGGACATGATAGAGGTCTATAAACTCATGAATGGTATAGAGAAAGTAAATAAGGAAGTGTTATTTATTCCTTCTCATAATACAAGAACAAGGGGCCACCAAATTAAATTAATAGGTAGCAGGTTTAAAACAAACACAAGAAAGTATTTTTTTCATGCAACACACTTCAACCTCTGGAACTCCTTGCCAGAGGGTGTTGTGAAGGCCAATACTATAACGGAGTTAAAAAGGGAGCTAGATAGATTCATGGAAGATAGGTCCATCAATGGCTATTAGCGAGGATGGGCAGAAATGGTGTCCCTAGACTCTGTCAGAAGCTGGCATTGGGTGACAGGGCATGGATTGCTTGATGATAACCTGTCTGTTCATTCCCTTGGGGCACCTGCCATTGGCCACTGTCAAAGGACAGGATACTGGGCTTGATGAACCTTTGGTCTGACCCAGTATGGCCGTTGTTATGTTCTTAAATGAGAACTTTTTTATAGACACCTCACTTGACAACCTTTGCACAAGATTTGCCTATGACCTAGATCATTATTCTTTTGCAATCTCATCTCAATGGATGGAACCATCCTCTCCCTGACCGGCCAAACCCCTCCACCTAAGTGTATGGACTCGCCTGGAGAAGCATCTGCAAAGTTGGAGTTAGGTGGGAGGGGGGAAATAAGGCCCAATTGGGTCAAACTCCCCACCCCCTTAACAATTGTCTAAAGAAGCAGGCTTTCTTCACCTTTTGCTCCCTTCATGGCAAAAAACAAAGGGCAGGGATTGGCTCTTAAGTTTTAAACTACTCTCAAAGAGATAAATATGACCTAGATCATTATTCTTTTGCAATCTCGCCTCAAGGAGAAGAGCCTACTTTTGTTTAAATTCCCCCTGCCCCTGTAAGGTGAGCTTTGAAATTCAATGTTTTAGTAATTACAAAGGAAGGAAGAGACAAAGCATGGTAGTAAAGAGTAGACTTTTTCTTCAAAATAGGCAATGGCTAACATAACAGATACTATGCAGGGATTATAAATAAACAGTGAAATACATGATCAAGAAATCATGTGCGTATTAAAGGTGTGTCCAATTAAAAACAGTGCATCTCTTCCTCTGTCTCATATGATTGTAAGGGCATGGGTTTGCCTTTAAAAAAAAGAGAGGGGTTACAGCACCTAGAAGGAGTTTGGATACTATATAAAAAATGCTACTTGTTTTAATATAACTACAATCGGAAACTGTCACCCCCCTTCCTCTTTTGAAGATGATGGTGAAAGGCTGAGCTGCTCCTAAAAAGCCTAAATAATAAGCAATTTACTACACCCAAACAGTAACAAAACTTCTACAAGCATTTGATCAAGATACGTACAAACTGGGTAAATCTAGGGATGCTTAGATCCGTATTGGCTGGCTCCAATGGTGTCCGGCATGTATTAGCAATGAACCGTTTAAATGTTTACTTTTTTATATCCTTTAACAAACAAGTAATGTCATTGCCAATTACTGACTTCAGCTAAAAAACAATTTGAGACAGGTCACCCTTATTTCCAGTCTTAATCCAGATAAGATTTATAACTTCCTTTCTTCCCAAGGCCTGTCCTTTCCTCCTTCTTGCTGCCCAATAGCTTTCCATTGCACCTAGATTCACACAGTCTCTAACACTAGTTAGTGTGTGGGTTGGAAAGGGCCATATTGACTCATTTTAAGACATTCCTTTTGTCTTATCTAAAATCATCTGCAATCACCCCTATTGGTCAGAGATCTTCTTTGTAGAAACTTCCCCTTATCTCACTATTCTCTGAACAAGACATCCTTCCTACTTCATTCCTTCTGGCCTTGTAATTTATAATTTTCAAGGCCTTCCATCTACTTGCTAGTCAGGACCTTTGTTTACAACACATATATATTTCCTCACCAAACTAAGATAACTCTACAAAAACAACAAGGAGTCTGGTGGCACCTTAAAGACTAACAGATTTATTTGGGTTTAAGCTTTTGTGGGTAAAAACCTCACTTCTTCAGATGCATAGAGTGAAAGTTACAGAACTAAGATAACTCTAATTATTTAATTTCATATTTAATATTTATCCTACACCTCCTGTCCATGTTGTTGTTAGTTTGTACTTGTAAAGTGCTTTGAATTTATAAAGCTCCATGTGGTGTTACCTCACATAGCCTATTAAGTGAGAAATAAACTGGGGATGCACATTAGTAGAAGAGGTGTATAATTGCAATATACTAAATTAGTTTTTAAAGAACAGTATCACCAAGTATTTAGCCTCTTCTCATATTATAGAGTAACCATTAGAAGTGTAAGCAGAGTCAGGATGAGCTCTACCCTGACATCTGGTGGTGAATTGTGGCAAGTGTGGAAAAGAACTTCAAGGGCTGATCTTGTTTGTATAGGCACACCCACCCCGCCTAGCATGAGCCCAGGGCAGCCCAAAATGGTCACTTTGGCTGCTGTGTGATCCCCAGTTTCTCTGTTATTGGGACAGGAGGAATAAAGTGTTGTTACCCTGATTATGTGAATCAAGGACAATGTAACTGTTTTATGACAGAGGGTCTCACCATCACCTAAGAAGCATTCGATAGACAAGGGACATGGGTTCCAAAACCCAGTGAATTGAGAGAGGTTGGGGGGAGGTATGTGCCCCCTCTTGAGGGTCTGGAACACCAATTGCACTACCCCCCCTCTCTCCACTGTTGAATAGCAGAGCTAAATTTGCTTCCATTAGGAGTCTAGCTAGAGATTGCTGAGCTGAATTCACTTTGGGCCAATGGTGCACCAGCACTGGGGCTCCCCTACTACAAGCTGAAATTGCTAACGTTGCTGAGCTGAGATCACTGAGTGCTGTGTTAACTAGTGGGGGAGCCTAAGCAGCTGGCAGAGTGGAGCAGTTTGCGGAACAGTGAGCTGAG